GTTGGGATAGGTGAAACAGTTAAGGTGATTCCCTAGTTTTGCACTGCGCATCTCTTACTGCGCATAACAAGATGGCCGCTGTAAAAAAGAGCATGTGAAGTAATATTATCAAAATGAAGTTGACTGAAGAGAAACGCTATTGGAATTTTTGCTTGCTGTTGTTTCTTGCCGAGGTGAGACTCAATGTGTTGGGAATGTGCATAACGTAAGCAGTAGGCGTGTTGCTGAGTTCGACCTCCTCTCGGAGAACCTCGATAGTGGATGTTTAACTTGTGCTTACTCACTTTGATTTTCATTTAAACACTTTCTTTATCACATTGTGTCCTAAATGTGATATCTCGATGTGAATTCTGTAAAAACAGATTTTTTAATACTTTTTCCCCCTTTCACATACATTCTATTTTGAAACTCGCTCCAGTCCTCTCTCAAAAATCGGAGAAAATGCGTTTGGTGCGCACTTTCTGCAGCTCTACCGCAAAAACGAGTACGGTGACCCCCATTTTTTATTTCATGATTTTCATAAGGACAATGCTTCCATTCGATGAGAAAAAAATTGGCACAAATCTATGTTCAGTTTTCTGGCAATGTTACTAAATTGTACGGATTGAGCCATCACGGGTGGAAAAGCGCGCGTCCAATTTAATTCTACTTTGGAGCGTAAAGTAAAAACAAGGGCATTAAAAGGCATTTTTCTGGTACGTAAGTGGATAAACAATACATTAAAGTCAAATTCTGTGTGATGTCACATGCATCATCGAAAAAATCTCTCCTTTTTGTCTAGTTTTGCGCTACCCGCGGTTTTTGTAAAGGGGTCCTAAATAGCCGTATTTATTAGCATTGTGACGTCAAAACGAGCACGGTGACCCCCACTTTTTATTACTTTTTTATCATCTTCTTGACTTGTTACATCAGTATACCAAGTTTAAGCTAAAATCTATGTTAGGTTCTTTTACTATGGAATCACCTTAACTGTATAGCAAGAAAGACAATTTTCATATTTTTGTACTGAAAAGAAGCAAGTTAAAATGTCGTGATAACAAATTGTAAGATCCAGGAATCCTAAGACTTTTGTAACGTGTTGTCTTCACGATCACGAACCTCCAGTCCTCAGTTCAGGGAGAAGTTTTGGCAAGGAACCGAAACAGTAAGCGGCCCATCAAACTCTTTGACAGCTTCCCAATTAACCGATCGTTGCACACTTTTGTGGCAGGAAAAGGGAGGCGGAGTCGTGATTTGGAGCCAAAATATACCTACCAGCAAAACCGAACTGAGAAGAAAGTAAATCGCCTTTTTTTGTTCCTCTCTCATATTAAGTTTCGTTTTGAACCACTTAGCTGACAGGAAATTAACATTACCCAGTGGGTAACAGTAAACTACCAATGCAAAATTGACTTGTTGAGACCAAGAAGAAAAGAACATATTTATACCTATAAAGTTTAAGGATCAGTAACTGAATACATTTTTGATCGTACCTGGAAAGCATTGAAATGTGTTTCAAGTCCCTGGCTGGCGGTGAAATGTGGAAAAGGGTGGAAAGATACTTTCTCTTTGGGGCTTTGTTAATCCTTTTTTAGTCTTATTGGTTTTGTTTTCTTTGCTTTTTTTTGAATGACCCAACTGAAGGGAAATATTATATCATGAACAAGAAATGTGCCAAATATCACTGCCAATTAAACCGAAGCCCAAATATGAAATAAAAAACAATGGATTATATTCTCAGTGTCTTAGATTCGATGAGTTGTCAATCTTCACTTTATAACAGACAAAAATTATTATCTTCTATTCAGCTGCATAGCGGGGGCCAGATTTTGCCTTTTTCCTGGGCAGAAAATTCTCGTCCTCCTTCACCAGTTTGGACAACATATTATGGAGTAAGACGTTGTTAATCTAAGCAAATAAGTCTGGTAGAGTCAAGAACCTATGCAAGCGGCTGGACGAACAATGTGACAGCAGCTGAGACAGCGAACGTTAGAAGAATTCGAACTTGAAAACCAGGGCTGCCCTGTTGAAAACTTACGGACGGACCCGCGATCGCCTTTTGTTTTCTGGTCAAAACTAACGCAGCGAACCTTCGGTCGATTGACCTAGAAGCAATAGTACCATCCCTCCCATAGCAAGTGCTGCATTGTTGCGCGAACGCGGTCGCTAAGCTTGAATATTCACGTCGCGTATTAAACCTGGTCGTTTGCGGTCATATCGAAGCGTAAAGGTCAACAGTGGTTGTTGATGAGCGAGCAATTATTATGCAGTTGCGATGGGTTTTGTGGAGCAAGCGAGCCAGAAGCAGGAGCACACGTTACCTGCAGATTAGCCGATGGTTATTTGGAGCGGATTCGTCGATTATTCTCGAATTTATAGCGCTTCGTGTGAAGGCACGTGGAGATGGTCTGTTTGTTTTGTAGCCAGCCTTTAATTCTTCTTTAGTGGATAGTATCTACAATTTCAAAACTCGACAAAATGCCACTTAAACCGGCCAGGAAAGACAAGGATCGGTTCAGTTGAAGGTATCTTAGCTTTGTTTTGTTATATTTAGACTTTTAGACTATTTTAGTCCATGGGAGTTTCGACGACTCATCGCATTAATTTGTCCATGTGGATATTAATATATTCATTCAGTGACACATACTACGTCTGGGCCGCCTGTGGTGAGAGTCGGTACCCAGGGGCTTTTCCGCCTGTGCTTGAAAACTTTCGTCGCGCCTTTTGTCCCGGCCCGACTGACTGCCCCTGAGTCTCCGAGGATGAGTTTTAGTCTGAAATTCGGCTTTTTCGTCTCCAGAAAGCCGTGTAGTCTTTTAATACAGTAAATCCCCGATAACTCGAACTCCTCGCTAACTCCAACTAAGTCCAACTTCCGTTGGATATCAACCCACTTTCCAGTCATTTTTACTCGGTTAACTCGAACACGCATAACTCGAATTCCCCGCTAACTCGAACTACATTTCCTTCCCTTGATCAAAAAGTCACTGAAATTTCCCCCGATAACTCGTTTTCTGGTTCTTTCAACTCCACTCGAATGTCGTCCCATTAAAAAGCGACTAAAACTAACACGGATCAACACTAAAGAAATTTGATTTTAACTGGTGAAACGAACAAATCACGTTTTATCATAAATAAATGCCTTATCATTTGCACTGCACCGTAAGCTGAAGTGCTGAAAATCATTAAGTATCAGTTATTAAATTGGAAAACTGAATTTTGCAATGGACCCCGAATACACTAGAATCCCCGCTAACTCGAACTGTTTTTTGTTTCCCTTCAGAGTTCAAGTTTCCGGGGTACTACTGTATTTGTTTGCGTTCACTCATGCACAAACCTATTTTATGTCGGTGCAATAACCCATCGAGTCGGTTGGTTATTGTCTACATTTTCCAAATATCGTCAGTACCAGCTTGTTATGAAGAATTAACCGGTGGATTGGAGCCAATCAAAAAAGGCAAAATACTCTGAGCGAATAATTAACAGTTATTGAATGAGGCTGATACGGCCTCAGTGGATAGCACCTTCCTCGATCTCCATAATTCTTCTGATGATACGAAAGCCGAATTCAATAATTGTTTTATTATTCATTCAAAATAATTCCTAGTTTAAAAACATGCTTACCTCCATCGATGTTAAGTTCGTCTTCGACAGTGCACGTTAAACGGCAAGTTTAGGAGATAAAGGGTTGTTCATCTTTGCAAATATTCTCCAAATAGCAGATGTCTTCCTTCGAGGTGTCTTCTTACAGTTCTTGCTAGGTTTTTAGCCAATGGTTCGCCTATTTCCTCCTGGTAAAACAAGTAAAACGTTCCGGCGGTTTGATATCACTACCAAAGTAACACGACCTCGTCCCCAGGTCTTCTCGGTTAACGGTTCAATAATCTGCAACTTTGCTGCACTTTTGACGTCATCAGTTTAATATGGCAAAATCCTTTCAAATTTGGTCAACAGTAGCTGGTAATGATGAATTATGCGTGTGATTTTAGCCAATCAGAAAAGGAGAAATATTTTAAATGAATAATTAGCAGTTATCCCACGAGCGCGCACGTTAGAAATAGGATGATAGACGGCCAATTAGGTGCGAAGCGTCGAGTTGGCTATAATTATGTCACAAGCGCGAGTGGAAAATTTCATTTATTAAAAACGGTCACAAAATGTCACTACTAAAGACCGGGTAAGACCAGAGACTTACGCTTTTCACCTGCCACACGTCTATTAAAACTGTCACAATTGTGCCCAGGCAAACCGACTGAATGAAACAACAACTAACAACAACAACAACGAAGCATCATAGCAATGAACTCTTCAACAAATCATCTGGATTCTAAGGGTTAACTCTGTTAGACAGAGTTTTAAAATATGGCAGATAATGTTACCGAGAAGAATTTTTAAGTTATGCCATGGTAAATTCCTGAACTAAAATTTCCCCAGTCGCCATGCAAAGAGCTCGTGTAAAGCTTCTTCTTGAAGTTGTTTGAAACCGGTCGCTGTCTCTCTGTCTGTCTGTAAAAAGATTTATTGATAGATTGATTCGTTTATGTTAAAAGCGCCTCTTTTCTTTCCTTTTGTTAGCTCAGCCCTTTCCTGGCGAGACGTACAGCACATTATTGCGTGGACTGCAAGACAAGATCCTGTTGCAATCAAGAAAAGCTCATGGACCGTTAATAAGGCTAATTTGANACACGTCTATTAAAACTGTCACAATTGTGTCCAGGCAAACCGACTGAATGAAACAAAACCTAACAACAACTAACAACAACAACAACGAAGCATCATAGCAATGAACTCTTCAACAATTCATCTGGATTCTAAGGGTTAACTCTGTTAGACAGAGTTTTAAAATATGGCAGATAATGTTACCGAGAAGAATTTTTAAGTTATGCCATGGTAAATTCCTGAACTTAAATTTCCCCAGTCGCTATGCAAAGAGCTCGTGTAAAGCTTCTTGAAGTTGTTTGAAACCAGTCGCTGTCTCTCTGTCTTTCTGTAAAAAGATTTATTGATAGATTGATTCGTTTATGTTAAAAGTGCCTCTTTTCTTTCCTTTTGTTAGCTCAGCCCTTTCCTGGCGAGACGTACAGCACATTATTGCGTGGACTGCAAGACAAGATCCTGTTGCAATCAAGAAAAGCTCATGGACCGTTAATAAGGCTAATTTGAGTGGTTAGTTTATCCCTTCTGATCTTTATAACAGCGTTAGCGTTTTTATATTAGTACTAAATTATATTATGTTAGTACAGCGAATTGTTAAGCTATACGTGCTACTGTTTCTGTTTTCATTCAAAAATGCTTTATGACTTGTTTAATGATTTTGAAAAGACAAAAACGAATGTCGATTCAGTAAAATAAATGTATCAGTACGGTAATGAAACTGATAACTGCGGTGATGATAGCAGAAGGAGTATATATAATCATAATATTGATATAATAATGACGATAATATTTATTAACTTATATTCAACTCAAGACCATTTTAACTGTACGTCATAATGTTTAACAAATAATGAAAACTTTAAGCTCTAGTTTTAACTCAAAACCCTAAACTTCCTTCCTAGTAAAAATTCTAGATAGAAATCAGTACAGTGGAATCCCGTTAATACGGTCACCAATGGGTCATAAAAATTTACCCGTACTAACGGGGTGGCCCTATTACTCAGGGCAGGGTCAAATTTAATGACTTACGCCAGACGGAATAACATGCACATGCACCATGCATCGCATTCGCACTTCTTGAACAACTGTTCACTTTAATGAACTACCGGAATGGAGATATCGCGTACCGTAATTCCAAAAACTAAAGTCAACTCCCGATAACTCGAACCGTCAAGGGAAATCGAAAAAGGTTCGAGTTATCGGAAGCTCGAAAGAAACAGTTTTTACTGCATAGTGAACATTTTAATCACATTTAATTGTAGAAACGTCAAGTGAAAATTAAAATATACTTCTAGATTATAAATCAGAACGTAACATAACAAAACCTTGCTTAATAGAGCATGCATTTTACTGTTTTGAGAAGTAAGTTAGATTTGCGACAAACAACATCAGCCTCCACTAGTAAACTATATACCTACAACACATCAATGGGAAATTCAAAATTCAATGTTTCAACGCCAGTAGACTGTTTTTTCCCGACTTTTAAGGGTTCAAAACACGGTTCGAGTTATCGAGGGTAAAATTATATAGAAATGATCTGAGGGGAAACGGATGACGGAAATCCAGGGGTTGGTTCGAGTTAGCGAGGGTTTGAGTTATCGGGAGTCAACTGTACTTGAAACTTTTCTTTAGTACATAAAATTAAAAAAATCGACCAGCAACAAATGCATTTTGAGTGTACGGTGGTCTAAAAGCAATACAAGAACATGCTCAGCTAGGTCAGTGAAATTGACATATCACAGGCATTTTAATTTTCTACATTTCGAAGGCATGGCCGTATTAACGGGTTGAAATTAGAAGGGATTCTACCGTTTGGGATTTAAAAATGTGGACGTTGGTCGTATTAACTGTTTAACCCAAAAACGAGGGGTCCTTTTTTATAGGAAAATGTGTGACCGTTTTGCCAGGCCAAAAAATTTGCTGCACACTGTAATAACGAGGTGACCGTCAGTTACCGAGGTGGTCGTAAGGCGGGTTTCTCTGTAATGACATTTTGAAACCCCTAAATATTAATCAATTATTATTAATGATTAATGAAAATAGGCAAGGAAATGCCTTCTGGAACAAATGTGTATGAAGAGAATCTGTAAAACGTACAGGTATTAGCCGACAGTAGTATTTCTAATGTAAAGGGAAGATTATTCCATTATAATTTAGCCACAGAGAATGATCGGTTATCCAGCGTAGTAAAAGACTTTTATGTTGGGAAGTTTAGAATTATGCTGTTATTTGATCTTAAACAATAATACTTCCCTTTTTTTCTTTCGTTACATTTGTTGTTGTATCTTTCCTCAGTTAATGATTATGTTGGATTTGGCTTTATGGATGCCACTAAGATGGTCGATGCAGCACTGAACTGGACAACTGTTCCTACAAAGGTTAACTGCACCATTCCAGATCCCCGTGGAAATAGGTAGCGTACCTAGAACCTGACTCTTTTTCATGCCTCGTAATTATCCACTCTCCCTAGAAGTGGGTGCAATTACGATTATCATTTATGCCAGCATTTTGACCTATTTAAAATTGACCATAAAACAGTGTGGGTTCTTATTAAAAACGTTTTTTCAATAACTTAGTGTATACTCGCCCATATTTATTGAGAGCTATTACTCATAGGAGTATTCGGATCCTGAGTTATATTGCGTATTTTTTTTATTATTTTAACCGCAGCGGGACTAGCTCAGTCGTTAGAGCGCTTGACTGTTGACCGAACTGGGCCGAACCATTACTCAGAGTCATAAGGTGGCTCGATACAGTTTTTCAATGTCAATACCCCCCAAGTTTGAGCATAAACTACGTCACCATAAACAAAGATTTGGAAAAATTGCCACCACAGTTGTATTAGATAAAGAAGAGAATTTCTTATGATCAGGGTTGCAATGACAGAAAATAGGGAATAGCGTCATTTCGTCGCTAGGTCAACTCCGATGTCGTTGCAACCCTGATCATAACAAATTTTCATCTTTATTTATTGCAACTGTGGTGGCAATTTTTCCAAATCTTTGTTTATGGTGACGTGGTTTATGTTCAAACTTGGGATTTATTGACCCTGAAAAACTGTATCGCGCCACCTTAAAATAATTGAGAAATGAAGGTAATGCCTTTGCCCTGCAAACGGCTAGACCTTCACGTGGCTCGGATAACCACGTAAAATGGTGGTCCCCTTCCCAGAAGGGGACATAAAAATAGTGTCCTCAATTAGTACCTTTGTGCTAAATACATTGACACTCACATAGGTGCAATTTTTTTCACTGGCCCAGAAAGAGGTAAACTTATAGAGTACTGTGCCGGAAGCGAATGTGCAAACCGATTTCTACCTTGTGTTCAGTAATCAAACGTTTAATATGCTGTATTGTAAACCAAACAAAGTGATTGATTTTCCATTTTCTGTCTGAACATAAATGCATGTGCTCCTTTTGAGGTCTACAAAAACTGCTGAATGCACAATTACGGGAAGTACTCTTTCTCTTGAAATTCATATATTCACCTTCATATCTTAGTCTTCTACGGGTACGTATATTATACGAACTCACAAAGTGACCAGCTCCCATTTGGTTTGGTTTCATACCTCAGTCGCAACTGAGATTATCACAGAGGTCATTGGATCGGATTCCGTTCTTAAGCCTGAACTTTTTTCAAGTTTCTTTTTCGCAACCACTTAAGTTTCGTACTTAACTGTTATGATCTTTTTCCCTTCTTTCTTTTCATTTAATCTTTCTGCTAAATCTTTCTTTCGCAATTCTAATGTATCAAATTCTGATACATTTACTTTCAGAATTGTTAGTAACGTCATAATTTTATCTTTAATTTACCTTTCTCTCTTTCTTTCTTCCTCTATTTATTCGCCTTTCAGTCCGATAATGTTTAACGAATCACTTGAAGACACCATCGATCTAAGTACCTGGAACAGTAAATGCTTTGGCGAGAAAATCAACTACTTGGAACATGTTGAGGTCTATGTAAATTTGACTTATACACGGCGTGGGGACCTGTTAATAAAACTCACATCACCTCAAGGGACGGTTTCTAGTCTCACGCATTATAGGACCACCGACAGTCACTTTAAAAACACGGACTTTGATTTTGTCTTTATGACGTTGCACCACTGGGGGGAAAATGCGGTTGGAAAATGGAAATTAACGCTGGAAAACTCGCGACCACATCGTAATAGTACAGGTTGGTTATTAATTTGTAACAATCAACAATTATTGAATTCGGCTTTAGTACGATGTGAAGAATTCACTGAGGCCTATAACAGCCTCCAAGATCTGCATAATTCTTCACATCACACGAAAGCCGAATTCAATAATTGTGTATTACTCTTCATTCAAAATATTTCTCCGTTTCTGATTGGCTAAAATTCCACGCACAATTCAACATAACCAGGTACTGGCGACCAAATTTTGAAAAATTTCGTGACATGTGAGAAATGACGTCAGTTGTGCAGCATAATTGTCAGAAAACTGAACAGTTAACCGAGAAGACCTGGGGACGCGGTTGAATTGTTTTTGTAGTTAGAACAAAATGGTGGAACATTTCACTCGTTTCACGAGGAAGAAATAGGCGAACTATTGGCTAAAAACAGCAAGAACAGCAAGAAGATAACTCGGCGGAAGACATCTGCTGTTTGGAGAATATTTGCTATTTGCAGTACTGAACAACTCTTTATCTCCTAAACTTGCCGATAAACAGGATAATGAACTTAACATCGATGGAGGTAAGTATGTTTTAGCTTGTTTTTGAACTGGGAATCATTTTGAATGAATGATAAAACTCTCGGAGGGTGTTATCCATCACGGCCTAATCGGCCTCGACGGATAACACCCTCCTCGATCTCCATAATTCTTCAGATGATACTCAGCGTCGTTCAAAACACTCACGCACTTTCTAAAACAGTGCCGCGCGATGTTTCAACAACCTCTCCAAGACCATCACAACTCCACGGAGAGAGCCACCTTTGTACGCAAAGGCAAAGAACATTACCTAGCCCTTAACAAGTCTAGCGTGTGACCACCTTTTCATGTAAATAGATATATATTTTCTTTTAGAGTTCTACCTTTTCCCATATTTTGTGGTTAGTGTTAATAGTTAGTACTGTAGCATAGAAGAGCCATTTTTATGGAATGCTAATAAATCATTATTATTATTATTAGTTGTTGTTGTTGTCGTTATTATTATTATTATTATTATTATTGTTATTGTTATTGTTATTGTTATTTATTATATAATTGTTCAATAATTAAGTTGAATTTAATTTTCCTGGCACTTTTTCTTCAAAGCCTTGGCCTACTTATCGGCACAGTTTCAGCTAGGTTAAAAAACAGATTTTTTTTCTTGCAGATTCTCCTCAAAAAGTAGATAAAATCCATCAAGCAAAATGTTTTGCGTATTCTTGCCACCACCACTTCGCTGATTGATTCAATTATTCACCGAAATGGAATTGAAAAATTGTGAATGACAAATAACAGTGTCATTTATTTCTGTGTTTCTAAACATTTTCAACCTCTTTTCGTTTCATGTTAAGGAACACTTTTCAACTGGACGCTGTATTTACATGGTACAAAGGAGGATCCGCTAGCTCAAAATCCTCATGTTCCTGTTCCAGTTTTTCCACAACCAACAACCCGAACGACATCAAAAGCAAGTACAACAGACCTGACACCAGAGTCTACAAGTAAGACTCTTTAGGGCATTCTGGTCTAGCAGTATGTCCAGCTCTGTTGTTTATATAATAGAAACTCGTTAATATAAACCATATAAGTGGGAATAGGAGACTCTAAGGACGTGTTCTTATTGAATCCCGACGAACTGAGGGTGATTTACGTAGTACGTTTTTGAACCGTTGTAGAAAAGTCGCTCCCTTTTGAACTCCTTGACCTTGCGAGAGAATTTTCCTTCTAATGCATTTTTTCAGTTTGGTATAATTCTATTGGGAGGTTTACATGAAATTCGGAAGGCCATCATAAGCTTCCTTAAACTACACCTAAATTAGCAATTCCTTATTCCATATCTGTTTTCCTCGCAAATGTTTGAAAGATAACAAGAAATAGAGCCTCAAAGAGCTGGCGAAAAATCCGAACAACTCGATTTACTCAGTGAACCAGTTTCACAAAATTTCATTTCTGACCAATCAACAACAACTTCGCATCACTGAAGCGCGCTAAAACTGAACTTGCACATGAGCCACGTTAGTTTGCATCGTGCTCGTTATCTTGAACATGCACACTTCATTCTATTTACTCATCTAAATTGAATAATTGGATAATTATTCTCTTATTGAAGCCGGTTTAGTCCGTAGTATCGTCCGATATCACTCGAATCTTCTGAATAGCTCGCCCTACTGGCTCGCCAAGAATGAATACAGTGCGGCTAAAGATCCCACCATGATTCTACAAATTTAACCGTGCAATAAGAGATTTCGATTTTGAGAATTACCCTCCTGTGTATTCTTCCTGTATACTAATTTGTACTAAAGGGAAAAAAGCAACAACAACAAAAACAAAAATAACTTCATGAATAACCTGGTTCAAACCAAGAATTTGACATTCTTGTGCTAGTTGCACACACGTACTGTGAATCCAGATCATTCGGTTGCTTATTTTTTCTGCTGGGGCATCTCAAGGTTAACATTTTTCGCCTTTAGTAGTATTCGGTATACGCCTCCGTCCGCGACAAGGTTGTCTTGACGGCGGATTTGTATTTAATTCCAAAGACGACAAGCGTAAGTTGGCTGACAATTCGTAGTTTTAATGCACTTGTCACGCACCTTTAAGCCGAGCTCGTGTCTCCGATGTTACTATTGCCCCTTGGACAGAAGAATTGCAATTACAATTGGCCATCACTGCCTCATTTCAAAGTGAAATTTATTTCGAATTGACCATTTTCGAGTTGCCTCAAGCCTATGTTTCAAAGCGAGGCTAAGTGCGAAGCCACTCATATGAAAATGATTTTTCATTCTCATGCATTTGAAACTCGTTTTCAGTAACAAATGTTTTGCACTCAGCCTCGTTTTGAAAGTGACAGTTTTTGGAACTCGGAAATGGCTTTTTCGCAGTTGCAATTAAGGCGAAGAGGGCTAATTAACAGAGAAAATGAAACAATAATAACAATAGAAGCATTTTGAATTCTGGTACTTTGGCAACTCCACGTTAATAGCTACGGCAACACACAGATTTGGTACCCCGCTTCTTTTATAGTTGATAATTTATTTGTTGGTATTGGTTATTTCTTTATTTATTTGCCCTGGACAGTGGCATTTTTTGTTTTTGCATGGGTGTTTTTTTTTCCTTTTTACAATTAGATCTTCTACATATCTATTTCTGAGGAGGTAATGCTCTTTTACGTCTTGAACCCTAAACCACACATATGGCGTACTCTCGTTTACTCACTTAGCTGAAAAATATTGGAACTGCCTCACCGATTATTTAAGGGAAATTGGAGATTTTAGAGAATTTAGGCAGCACTATCATGACACAACTTTGAGACTTAAGATGTAATTTGCAATATCCGGCCTTTTGCTCAGAGGCACTCCGCAGCCTTTGTACTTATTTACTTCAACTTCGACTTTTTAGATTTATCTATATATCTACTCGTTAATTGTTTTTACTGAAAAAACGCTTTTTAGCTGACTGGCCTGTATCAGCCGATTACTGCCTACATATAACAATTGCTAAGTTACGAATCAATGGGTTATGTTTCTAGTTATAATTAAATAATCTTTCTGTTAGTGTTTGTTCCTCCTTCCTACTTTTCCTTAGCCTGCGAACCGCAGACGTGTTTCCGGTCGTCGCTTCTCTCCCTCCGAAAAAATAACGTCTGCGAACCCGAGCGCCAAAACGATTTCTGTGATGTAAAACGTTTTGTTTTCATGTTGGCTAATCAGATCAACGGATAGAATGCAGCTCGAGTGACTCCTCGGGACCTCGCTATTGGATTTTGGCGAGAGTTACGAAATACGCTTTGAATTTCACGACTATAAGGGAGTGTTTACATGATACCGGGGCGACTTTTGCTTCGGCGCGAGTTCACTCCGCTTCCCTCTCATGGCTCTATATTTGTTTACATGATACCACCACAAAATATCATGCCTGGGCGAATCACCCGGGGGTGAGTTCACCGCGTTTGTTGTACCGGGGCGAGAATTTCACTCCGGTACGAAATCTCACAGCGGTATCATGTAAACGTCAAATGACCAACCGTTTCGGTGTGAAATCGGTTTGCGAGTAGACTGGAACGGCTAGCGCATGCGTAATATTTGTTATTTTAAATCACACGCGCATTTTATCAACATAAAGTGTACCTTCAAACAACGAGATACAAAATGACGCAGTCATCATGTGAAAGCGATACGAAATCAAAACGTCATCCCTGTATAAAACTCGTGCCGGTGCGGGTTTTCTCATGTTAACACCTCCTAACAAGGTTTCCTGCGACGTTGAATGCTGACTTCCTTGTGAAGCAACGGCTTCTTAAGCTATGTATGTGACGTGGGCCCAATCGCTACAGCGAAAGGAAAATAATATAGCTCAATGACATCGCGCTCATACCCGCGATTTATTTCAATTTAACCAGCGCTAACAAAGGGTGGCGAATCGATTGGACAGAAACATCTCGACTGATTCAGAAATCTCTGACAATCGCTCGTTAATAATTCAAAATCCTACAAGTATGGCCACAAAACAATGATCCGAAATATTATAAACCCTGGGCCGGACCCAGCGTGAAATAAGTATTTACAGAAGTAAATTGATGATAGTCAAGATGACATTTCAGCTACGACGCTTCGACTCATCTTATAAAAAACCATGGAAATTAAAACCTTTAAAAGAACATGTATAAAAAGAAGTATAAGAACAAATATACGTATCGCATAGGAAATCAATTACCACATGTCCTAGCTTTCAAAGATAAAGGATACTAAAATTATCCAAGCGGCACACGATAAACTACTGAAGAGTTCTCCAATGCATACTTTTCTGCGAGGAACCAGATAAAACAGAAGCAATAAGCAGCATGATGCGTCTACTTTCATTAGGACATTCATCGTTTCGAATATGATCAAAACAACAAGGTGTGGTAAATCATTGACTCCGTAGGCAAATAGTTTTCTAATAATCTTTCTTCAATATGAATCCTCTTGGTGCTTAGTTCATCAATCAGTACCACAGTCAAGGAAAATTAACTTTCTTAAACGCGTCGTTCTGAGAAAAATGGGCGGCTGCGCACAGGCTACGTCGCCCTTTTCAATTGCGAATTGTAAACATATCCACCGCGCACGATCTTGTGAGAAGTCTCGCGAGTTAGTTCCTTGATTTAAGAGCTAAACTGTGATTGGCTAAGAAGGCTTTACGTCACGGAAATCGTTCTGCCGCTCGGGTTATCAGACGTTATTTTTCGGAGGGAGAGAAGCGACGACCGGAAGTACGTCTGCGGTTCGCAGGCTAACTTTTCCTACGTTTTCCTTATATATCACTTGATTGTCTTTCGTTTCCGTTTTTGTTTTTTGTCGTTGTTTGTTTTTGGTGGAGGGGTGTGGGAGTTACTTTTGTGCGGACTTCTTTTTATACTGGCTAAATAGCTAAAATGAGTATTTTCTCATAAAGGCTTCCCTTCGACCACAAGGGAGATATAAATCATTTTTCTGTCATTGCTAAACTCTGCTAGTAAAATGTATTACACATCTCGCTAAGAAAATCCAAAGCAGGGCAACAGTTGAAATGGTAACTTCTCACAAATCAGTCGATAATTTTCTTTTGTTGTTATATTTTTGGGGTATAAGGAATTTCTTCGGTCCGGACTGTGCCTGTCACTGAAGTATGTTCGACTAAAGTTGTCCCTTCTACAACGGGAGTACCAACTAGAAAGTCAGGTGAGATTTCACTTTTTTTAACCGCGGCAGTGTTGGCTCAATCGGTAGAGCGTGTGACTGCAGAGCGGGAGGTCGCGGGTTCGATTCCCGGGGCCGGACCAATACTCAGGGTCTTAAAATAACTGAGAAATGAAGGTGCTGCCTTTGCACTGCAAGCGGCTAGACCTTCGCGTGGCTCCGACGACCACGTAAAATGGCGGTCCCTTCTCCAGTAGGAGATGTAAAAATAGTGTCCCAATTAGTACTTACGTGCTAAATACATTGACTCTCAAATATAGTGCAATTTTTTTATTATTTTTTTTAAAATCACGTACACTGTCGTGCTTTGTGATTTACGCCCCGCAAATTAGTAAATCGCATCCAAAGCTTAAGACACTCTGCGACTCAAAAGAGTAGTCTCATTTTCATTCGCAAGTATAGTTCCTGTAAAAGTTTGATTTAAAATGACTAAACGACTTCTATTAAATGAGATGGTCAAGACTCAAAACGGGCGAGATAAAGTCATCCCCCTCCTGCCAAAAACAAATCTTGTCTCGGTGAACATCATTTGGCTTTAGGAACTAAATGAAGACTGAAACCGCGGCAGAACTACGTTTTTACGTCACGGAAATCGTTCTGCCGCTCGGGTTACCAGACGTTATTTTTCGGAGGGAGAGAAGCGACGACCGGAAGTACGTCTGCGGTTCGCAGGCTAACTTTTCCTACGTTTTTGATTTTCTTTCGTTTCCGTTTTTGATTTTTGTTGTTGTTTGTTTTTGGTGGAGGGGTGTGGGAGTTACTTTTGTGCGGACTTCTTTTTATACTGGCTAAATAGCTAAAA